GGACCGTAACTTTTCGCGAACGAAACAAAAACTGATCCGATACAATGTAAACATAGCCACAATGCTATTCATGTTGTATCAAGTTGCCGCAAGACGATAACAAGTTGTTGGAACAACTTGTAACAATTTTGTTGAGTTCAACAACCTTGTAGCAAGTTGTCAACAAGCCGTTCACATAATTTCTTCGTTCGATTCGTTTGCGAAACCATATCAAACGCAAGAGAGAAAGCCTGGGACCATACAGTCACGTAAAAACGCACAAGTCGTAACAAACCTCCCGCAGATTTGTAGCAATGCCGTTCCGACAACCTGTCAACTAGATGTGTTCCCTGTTCTCACTCCCTGTTCCCAGCTTGTTGAACTGCAGGACGATATAACAAGTTGTGGAGCACAAACTTGTAGCAAGTTGTCAACGATTCAGTTCGCTCATGCGAACCATCGAGGAGTGCGCTTGCATTTTCCAACGGCTTGATTTGTTGACAACTTGCTACAAGGTTGTCCAGCTCAACAAAGTTGTTACAAGTTGTTCCAAGAACTTGTTATCGTCCTGCAGTTCACCATTTTATCAACAAATTGTGAGTGACAACCTTGTCGCAAATTGATAACATAACAGCATCAGGCCTTAAAATATCTTTTACAGGGCCGTCTGACATAATGTCCGGTGATGTTGAGTTTCGGTCGGACATATGTCTGATGACCTTCAGTTCAGTTTTGACTCGGAAATAAGTCCGAATGACACAAATGAATAACGGTAAATGTTGTAAAGATATTAAATAATTTGTTTCTTTCATACTTATTTCCACGCCAAAATTAATTTGCTTGCCAGAACAGCAGTATTAAAAAAGACTTCGATTTCGACCATTTCGCTCGCCGCCCCGCGCTCGACTACGTTAAAACAACATTTCCAGTTCACCTTTTGTACAATAGTACTCCGATTTTCCATTTAGCATACAAGCCTCTAGTCCTGGACTAGGGTACATTACGTCGGACAAAGCACGAGGTTGCAGTTCGGTCGGACACCAATACACTCGGGTCGGACAAACAATAAACCTCAGTTTCATTTTGGTCGGACAGAATGTCCGGTGGTTTCCTCTCTACGTCGGACAATTTCACGAATGGGTCGGACAATGTCCGTGACCGACAGATATTTTAAGGCCTGACAGCATTGTTTAATACAACTTGTTGACAAACTTGCTACAAGCCTCTTGCGAACACATCTAATTCACACGCAAAAATCTCACATCTTGTAGCCAGCAAGCCGTTAACAAGTTGTGTTCGCACTGCTTGTTCCAAGTTGTCAACAAGTTTGAAACAAGCTGTTAACAGACTTGTTGCAAGGTTGTTCCAACAAGTCCGATACAGTCATGATATAACAATATTGTTACAACCTTGTGTCGTCAACCTTGTAACATTCTTGCTATATCATGACTGTATTCGACTTGTTAAAACAACATTGTAACAAGTCTGATAATGCCATCAAGCTCGTTACACATTGTTAACAGCTTGTTCCAAACTTGTTACAACAACGTGTACCACATGTGCCCAACCAAACGAGAGAATCAAATTTTTCCTCACAAACGACAAAACTGGAAAGCGCAGTAGATTAAATATTTCAAATCCATGCAAAAATGGCAAACTTAATATAAGATTCCACGAAGATTATCATACTATTTTGACCAAAACATCTATACCTGGAGCAGGTTTTTATTATACAATACAAGCTATTTAACATATTACATAAATGAATTATTGTTATAAAGCGGTAAACAACAGCTGTAAATTTTACAGAAACGTGGATACATACTAACTGTAATAACCAAAAAGCCCAAATTCTAGTAATAATTGTTGCAAGTTTGTGTTGATTGTTACTCTCTGGCCCCAGATTTTCTGCAATGAGTACAATATATAGCTTTACCATCAAAATACTCGGTTGAGTACAATACTGGAGTTGATACAAATTTCAAAATTTGCATTCCTGCTTCATTCATTGCTTCTTTCACCATTTTCTCGGTTAGGGGAAAGGTAGAAAACTTTTCTTCGCCGACACAATAAAACGTCTGCCCTATGAAGCCGAGAGTGAATAGATAGCCGTTTGGTTTGAGTAATTTGCAAAGTTCTGCGACGGTCTTCCTGTAGTGCACCTCAGACGACACACATGCAGAAAGGCAAAATATGCTGGACACGACGTCGAACGGTTTGGCAACGTCATCCGAATCAAGTTGGACTATTGGTGCTTTGAACACATCACATGGGACAACAGATTTTATTTTTCCTTTCAGTTCACTAGCACGATTTACACAGTCGAGCTTCTCTTTGTCTGTTCGCGGTACAGCAGGACTTTCTGCAATGCCACGTCCTTGTTCGAGTTCAAGAACAGCGATTTCAATTAAAGGCATCCAGTCGAATGCGTCTGGGTCACCAGCAATCCACGACTTGACGGCTTGCCTATTCGCTTCTACATACTCTGCAAAGACAATATGATCCACTTTTGGACAGGCAAAAACAAGGTTGGCTATGCAAGGTCCACCACCAAACTCGAGATATCGAACATCCGTGCCTTTTGGTGCCTTAAAGGTCGACCAAAACTCGTGATATGCTTTAATTACCAACACAGTAGATGGATAATCATTTTCGTCTCCCCTCAAGTTTTCATATAAATGACCCAGGTAGATTTTTGGGTCAAAATAGTTCTGGTAATCTTCGTTGAATCTTAAATTAGCCATTTTTGCGTGGATTTGAATTTGTTCAACAGTCCTTTCCAGTTTGGTCGCTTGTGAGGAAAAATTTGATTCGGCACAGGGGGTGTAGATATATAGGCCCGGACGTAAATGACGTCTATATGTTTTTGGTTTTTTTTGGGTTTTTTTTAACAGCTTTATTGGACATACATATAAAAGGTTACATATTATTATACAAACAAAGAAAATTACAGGGTATACGTCCGGTGGGGCTAGCGCAAACGGGACAACGAGACCCATGCAGGGCGCCACCCCTAAACTAAACTAGTGAAAACAAACTTATTTACTATACAGAATATGTACGTATATAGCTTAGGACTTAAGTACGGTGGCAAGGGCAGTCTCTTATGAGCGACCAAGTACATGTCATATCTACATTAAAAGTACTGTTCACCAAGGCGGTGTGTGTCTTGTGCAAAAAGCTTTTAAAAATATTTACATTGGCAAACTTTTCTGGAGAGGCTATTTTACATATATAGTTCCAAGGCTCAGGGACGCCGGAACTGGGAGGCAGGGGGGGGGCGGCTGCCCCGCTTGCCTTTTGCTAGGGGGGGCAGGGGGGGCAGAAGTGCCCTTTTAGTTGTAAAATAATACGTGATAAATCACATTTCCAACGATGCTTTTTGTAGGAAAATCACGAGACTCAGGTAATTTATAGTTTATATTTATAAAAAATTTGGGAAATTTTTGGAATTTAGAAAAATATTTTGAAGAAATGGCGAAAATTTAAGATATCCGGAAAAAATTTTGGCTTCACGGAAAATTTTTGTATGTCCGGAAAAAATTTTTGGCCCCTAAAATGGTATACTGACCGAAATTTTTTGGCGACGGGGGGGGTCGCCAAAAATCAGTAAAGGTGCCCTTGGTGTGCGTCCGCCCCCCTTTGCCCTATTATCGTTCCGGCGTCCCTGCCAAGGCTTTACTGTTCTATTAAAAAACGATGCCTGAAAGGTGGATGTTTTACAGCAGGAGTGTTTTAACATTAGGGCTGGATTTTGTGCGCGAGATCGATTGTGCTCTACGAAGGTTAAAAGTTGATTAATGTTTAAATCGGTATGGCCAAAAATGCATTTATAAACCAACACAAGATCTCTGATTTCTCGATCGTAAGTTAGTGGCAATAGGTTTAGAGATTTCAGCCTGTCTTCATATGACAGCTCACCAACTTTAGTTCTTAGAATCCATCGAGTTGCCCGTCTCTGTACTCGTTCTAAGAGAACCTGCAACTTTGCGTTTGAAGGTGACCAAACCTCAGTTGCGTAGCACAGCTGCGACTTTACCAAGGCTAGATAAAGTGTTCGTCTAACTTTGGTGTCTGTGATGAGAGGACATGTTCTCTTCAGGAGACCGAGCATCCTGTTAGCTTTGTTGACGATTGAGGAGATGTGAGTGTCCCAAGATATAGCTTGCTATTGACGATAACTCCTTGGTCGTTTTCCTGTTGAACGCGTTGTGAAATGGCGTTGTCCAGGTGGTAGTCCGTAAGTACAGGCGATTTCTTCCGAGTGACCGTTAATACCTTACACTTGGAGGCATTAAACTTCATATTGGAGTTATGACTCCAGGTATTTAGGTTCGATATGTCACGTTGCAAGTTCTCACAGTCACTTTGGGACGAAATAGAGCGGTATAATTTTGTGTCATCTGCATAGAGAGCTGAACTCGTCTGTTCCTGGATAGAGTCGGGTAAGTCATTAATAAAGATGACAAACAGCAGAGGTTCAACAAAGCTTCCTTGGGGCACACCAGAGGTGACTGGTAGGTACTGAGAGGCAACACCGTCTATCACAACTCTCTGATATCTATGGTTGAGATAGTCCTTAAACCAGTTAAGGAGTTGACCCGTTACGCCATACCATTTAAGTTTCTGGATAAGAATGGCATGGTCTACAGAATCAAACGCCTTAGCGAAATCAAAATAAAGCATATCAGTTTGAGTGTTCCGGTCGAGTGATTTACCAATAGAGTGGAGAACAGGCAGGAGTTGTGTCACACAAGAACGATTACGCATGAAACCGTGCTGAAGTTCTGTGATTAGACGTGACACGTGAGCATAGAACCTGTTGCAGACGCAGCATTCCATCACTTTACTAACTATTGACAATAAAGAGATGGGTCTGTAGTTTCCAGCAGGTTCCTTCAGATCTTTCTTGTGCACAGGTGTTACGTCTGCATTCTTCCATTCAGCTGGAAAACGCCCAGTGCGCAGAGAGTGGTTGAACAAAGCACATAAACTTGGTGCGATTTCCTTGCTACATTGTTTTAGAATGTGTGCAGGAATCCCCAGATGGGATCCCCGGAGGCTTTCGATGAATCTAAGCCAGCCAAGCAAAGTTCCACTTCTTCCACAGACAGCTGCACATCGGAGATTTCAACATCGGATCCATTGGGGTTAGAAGGCATCGTACTGGGCACGGTGTTGGGAGAAGTAAACACAGAGCAAAAGTACGTGTTAAAGAGCTCAGCTTTTTCTCCGGACGTCTTGGCTGTTTGACCATTATGCGTAATGACAGAGTCGACTCCTGAGCGATGATGTAATACCGCTTTATGATAGCTCCAGAACAGTTTTGGATTTTCGCAGAAAGAACCCACGATTTTGTTGAGGTAATCACGATGTTTATGTCTGACAAGGATTTTGATGTCATTACTTAGAGATCTAAGTTTACGTTTGCGTTGTTCAGTTCTATTTTCGCGGTATTTTTTGAGAGCTCGATATTTCTTGCGCAGGAGGTGCCTGATTTCTCCATCAATCCATGGAGGAGAGTTTGTGTCTTTTATAACTTTAACAGGCACACATTTTTCTACTGCAGCTAAAAATAATGCTTTCCACCGAAACCAGTAGAGATCAACATCATCAGAGACGGACGTGTCTAATGCGTTTAGCTGCAGACGGTTACGAAGGGCCTCGAAATCTGCTCTCTTGTAGTTGTGTAACGTGCCGAATTTATGCTTACGAGAGAAACGCACACTTTGAGTTCCAGTTTGTAACTAACTTTTATTGCCTCGTGCTATCCTATTCATACATCAGCTTATTTCCATCAACATTCCTACGTCATACATTATTAGTTCTCGGTGTACAATTACAACTGTTACACTCTTTCCTTCCTTAAGTTTTCGTCCCGAAAACACGTACTTTGATATATGTACAAATAATTCATTTCTCTATAGTATACCCAGCTTCTAATCGTAAGCATAGCGTACAGGTGGACGTATGTTCTGCCGAAGTTCATAACGTTGGGGGTCACCTCTAAGCCTATGGGGAGGTGGGGGTATGACGGGGTGTTGAGGCAAGCTGTGAACCACATTAAAATCACCTGACTCACGCCCAGGAGAAACAATTCGGCCGCTATCCACCGGTATATAGCCTGTCTTAAGGTTATCGTGATGAACTACCATTGCTTTTTCATCATTCGAGCGCACACGATAGGTTACTCCCATCCTGTTTACTACCTTGTAGGGTCCTATCCACTTCCTACCAAACTTTCCTTTCTTTGGACGCTTTACCCAAACTGTCTGTCCTACTACATACGGTTTCCATTTATCGTTATCGTGACGAAGACGCCTGGCTGACCTTGTCTTGTCTAAATTATCTTTTGCTATCTGCCTTACATTCTGAAAAACTTTCCTAACACTTTTTGCGTATTCTGGCTGAGTACTGGGATTCCCAACTGTAGCACCGAATTCTAGTTCTAACGGCATGCGAGGAATTTTTCCGAAGACTAATTCGTAAGGGGAAAATCCCGTAGATTCGTGTTTGCTGGTATTGTACGCGAATAAAACGGGGTCTAACCATAAATCCCAATCATCTGCTCGACTGGACACATAATTAGCAAGCATATCTTGTAACGTACGATTTTGTCGTTCAACTTGGCCATCCCCAGATGGATGATAGGCTGTCGTGCGCGTTTTGGTTATGCCCATGATATTACAAATCTCGTGCATTAGAATACTTTCAAAGTTTGACCCTTGATCTGAATGGAGTATAAGTGGGGGTCCGAAACGTGAGAAGACTTTAGATATCAAACAGTTAGCAACCGTAGACGCTTTTTGGTCTTTGGTTGGGAATGCCTCACACCACTTCGTAAAATGGTCCATGACAACAAGTATATACTTGTTTCCCCGGGCGGTCTCAGTTACAGGTCCCATGTAGTCTAACGCCCAAAAGGTGAAAGGCTCACTGACATCAATCGTTTTCATTGGCGCTTTATCTGGATTTGGCGGAGATTTACGGCGCTGGCAAGATACACAATGTTGTATGTGGTAGTGTACTGAGGCGCGCACATTCGGCCAATAAAATCGTTCGCGAATTCGTTCTTCTGTTCTTGCTGAGCCGAGATGACCACAAGACGGATTATCATGCATACCGTCAAGTATTTTTGGCACTATAGACTGTGGAATAACAATAGCATGATCCGGATATGCGTACTGTTTGTGGCGAGACCGGACTAATAAACCGTTGTATATAAACAACCGATCGTAATTATACCAGAAGTTTTTAAGAATAGGATCATCTTTCCACTCCTTTAAATCGGGCCTTGGTTTCTTTTTACGTTTCAATTCTAAAATTTTTGCAATATGTGCGTCCTGCTGTTGCGCTTCATGCAAATTTATTGTCGGATTTACTGTAACGGAGTTTATGTTATCATGGCCATCGGGAAGAACCGAACTGGGTTCAGCTTTTTGCGTTTTGGGTTGAAATATTGGCGCTTCCGGGTTAAGAGACAGTGTCTCGGATGCTTGGCGTGGCCAAGATAGTAACTTTATAGTCCATTCAATGGTATGCCAAATCAACAACAAAAATACAAAACCGTAAGTTAGCGGCAGGGTTGTAAAGCGCTTTGCGTGTCTTTTCCAGTCCGGTATTACTGAGGAAACCATACAAGAGGCTGAGGTTTCGTTTGCTCCATCACACTTTTTGTTTACTAGGCGGCTTAACGCGTCTGCGTTGCAATGAGATTTTCCCGCTCTATGTTGAACCGAAAATTCAAACTCTTGTAAATCCATCAACCAGCGTGCTATGCGGCCTTTTGGTTCAATGGTATTGAGCCAACGAAGTGCATTGTGGTCTGTTATTATTGTGAATTTACGGCCTAAGAGGTAAAGGCGAAAATATTGCGTGCCATAATGAATTGCCAAAGCTTCTTTTTCGGTGGTGGCATAGTTGCGTTCGCGTGGTGTAAGGCTGCGAGAGGCGTATGCAACAACTCTTTCTATGCCATTGTAATCATACTGGGAGAGAACAACGCCTAAACCGACATCCGAAGCGTCGGTGTAAAGAGTGAACTCACGATCAAATTGGGGATAGGCTAGTAATGGTGCCCGAACATATAGCTGACGTTTTAGTTCTATAAACGAATTTTCACACTCCTCAGACCATTTAAAAGGTATTTTGGATGCCGCCTTTGTTGTCAATTTTGTCAGGGGGGCCGCGATGGTCGCAAAGTTCGCAATAAAACGGCGATAATAACTGGCTAGACCTAAAAAACTTCGCAGTTCTCGGAGACATGTTGGCGCATTAATTTTTTCTACCGCCTCAACCTTAAGTGGATCAGGGCTTATACCCTCCTTACAAACACCATGACCTAAAAACGCAACTTTAGTTTCCGCAAATCGACACTTCTCTAACTTAACGCGCAAGTTATGCTGTCGGAGCCTGTCAAGGACTGTTCTTAATCTGTCATTATGCTCAGCAAGGCTGCGCCCAAAACAAATAACATCATCCAGATAACACAGACATATTTTGAAAGTTAAACCGGCTAGAACGATTTCCATGGCACGTTGAAAAGTGGCTGGTGCTGTTTTTAAGCCAAAACTCATTCGGTTGAACTCAAACAAGGCAGAACTGGTCACGAAAGCAGTTTTTGACCGATCAAGTGGGTCAACGGAAATTTGCCAATACCCGCTGCGCAAATCTAAAGTTGAAAAATATGTTGCATTTCCTAATGAATCTAAAATGTCCGCATTGTTGGGAATTGGATGTGAATGATTAAGCGTGACCTCGTTGAGTTTCCGGTAATCTACATCATCTTACAACATCCCTGCTATAGCTCTTAAATTGTCCGCGGAAGTTATTGGTCCTTCATTAACATGGATTTATAATCTTTCAATCAAAACTGGGATATATGTTGATGAATGGAAAAAGGCGTGGGTAATGCCAATTTTTAAATCTGATGATAGACAAAGATGTGAAAATTACCGACCGATATCTATATTGCCTATTGTCAGTAAAATACTAGAGAGATCGGTTTTCAACCAGATTTATAAGTTTTTGAATGATAATTCGCTGCGATCTAAACATCAATCTGGCTTTCGGCCTAAGCATTCAACTTTAACAACACTCATTCAAATGTGTGACACACTTTATGAGAACATGGATAATGGTCAGTTGAGTGGTGTTGTTTTCCTTGATATTAGAAAAGATTTTGATTCTATTGATCATACAATCTTATTGCAAAAGATGAATGATCAATTTGGAATAAAAAATGTGGAACTGGATTGGTTTAAGTCCTATCTAACTAATAGAGAGCAAGCATGCATTGTCAACGGTGCAATGTCATCACCTAAAACGATTGTGTGCGGAGTTCCGCAGGGATCAATATTCTTGGTCCCTTGCTGTTTTTATTATATATTAATGATTTACCCGAATGCCTCGAAAAAACTTCGCCACACCTATACGCTGATGATACTCAAATTTCTACTTCTCCCAAAACTATTGAGGAACTTACTGAAAATCTAAATAATGACCTGAAAAAAGTCGGTGAGTGGCTTGCTCGAAATAAACTGCAACACCACCCAACTAAGACCAAATTAATGTATATCGGTTCAAAGTATAATACTGATACTATACTATATATATGTATAATACTGATATTCCAGTAATGATGAATAACCAATTCATAACTCTTGCTCATTCATACACATGCCTTGGGGTTAAACTTGATGAAAACCTTAATTGGAATGAGCATGTTGAAATGATTTGTAAGAAAGTTGGGGCCGGCATATACGACTGATGTCCAGTACCGACGAAAGGAGTCAAATGGAAAAAACGCAATTCAGATTGATGAAATCGTTCTATTCGTAAAACATTCAACCTGACACTATTTTCTTTGCATTTGAATAAAAATGCACACCAATTAATTCTATTCAACAACACATAGTCAAATGGATCAAATGGACACCAATTAATTCCATTCGACAACCCACAGTCAAATGGTGGGTAACTCGAAGGGCATTAAGCATGCAAGCAAGGTTAGTCGAATGGATCAAATGGATCGATTCGATCGAATGGACATCAATTAATTCCATTCGACAACCCACATTAAAATGGTGGGAACTCCAGGGGCATTAAGCATGCAAGGAAGGCCAGTCAAATGGATCGAATCGATCGATTCGATCGAATGGACACCAATTAATTCCATTCGACAACCCACAGTCAAATGGTGGGTAACTCCATGGGCATTAAGCATCCAAGGAAGGCCAGTCGAATGGATCGAATCGATCGATTCGATCGAATGGACACCAATTAATTCCATTCGACAACCCACAGTCAAATGGTGGGTAACTCCAGGGGCATTAAGCATGCAAGGAAGGCCAGTCAAATGGATCGAATCGATCGATTCGATCGAATGGACACCAATTAATTCCATTCGACAACCCACAGTCAAATGGTGGTTAACCCCATGGGCATTAAGCATGCAAGCAAGGCCAGTCGAATGGATCGAATCGATCGATTCGATCGAATGGACACCAATTAATTCCATTCGACAACCCACAGTCAAATGGTGGGTAACTCCATGGGCATTAAGCATGCAAGCAAGGCCAGTCGAAATGGATCAAATCGATCGATTCGATCGAATGGACACCAATTAATTCCATTTGACAACCCACATTCAAATGGTGGGTAACTCCATGGGCATTAAGCATGCAAGCAAGGCCAGTCGAATGGATCAAATCGTTCGATTCGATCGAATGGACACCAATTAATTCCATTTGACAACCCACAGTCAAATGGTGGGTAACTACATGAGCATTGAAACAGATGTTTACAGTAAACATACCTACACGCACTTTGTTTCGAATAACATTTAGTTTTATATATATGTGGAATATAGTTGTGCAGTAATATTTAAAAACATACCAAGTCCAAAATTTCGGGCTTGATTTAAAATATGCTCAGTATAAAATGTCCTCTATAATTTTGCCATCAACATCAACAAATACAGTCCGCTACTAAATCACATCATTAACTGAGAACGACAATTTTATATAACAACATCTCCACTTCTCCAGGACTCCGCTAGATATACAGTATACTGTAGCGGACTTTTTAATATACCGTCTATCTGGAATAGACGAGACCTTTCCGGTAATCTTTGTCAACACATTAATAAATAATTTTGGATTTTATGTGGACATAAATATTTTCAAATCCCGCTCGAGCCAACGATTTTTCGTTAGGTGATTGCATATTCTAATATGAAACTAGTTTTTGGTATGTCTGTATTCTCTGAGGATGCCGGATAAAGCCGGATATATGTTTGTTTCATTCCTTAGCCCGGTTGAGCTAGTTTGACACATTCCTTAGCCCGATTGAGCAGCGCGTTCACAGGAGTTATGGAAATGAGGATGCGCGGGGCGCACATATTTTCCCTGCTACAAAGATGGCGTTCTTTGAGAGTGCTCCTTGTATGTCCCGATTAGTGGCTGTTATGAACATTTTGGGACGTCCATTTACGTCTGCAACTAATGTGCTGAACATGGCGTATTTGTTTGTTTGTGGAGACCGTGTTACGTTGCAAGAGGAAGGCGACGAGCGGCCCTCGACTGCCATAAATGATGAATGCCAAATGGCGCAAGAAACGTCCTTCGTCCAGTTCTCAGCATTTGTGGACAACCTGAGCTTTTTATATCCAGGAATCTTCGATAATTTAGGACCAAACTCATTTAAACAGTTTGATCAATTCTGTGTGGGCCAAGAGTTTCCTTTTAGTGCCGTGTTTATCACAGAACGTGAATGTTGTCGTTTTTGCGGAGCAAAACTGACAGTTTGTGAAGATCATAAAGATGTCGTTGTGTACCATTTAACGCGCGGTACATACTTGGGAAGTAGATTTACCAAGAAGTGCTCCAGGTGTAAAACACAAGAACATTATGGACATTACAAGAAAGGAGGAAAAAGAATTTTCGATGGTGAATGTCTAGAGAAGGAGTTCTTGTTGGCAACGGAGGATACTGCTATTGACATGCAGCTCATGAGATATTTGGACGAAGAGGTGGTTCAAGGTGCCTGTCCATTTTTATTAAAAGCGAAAGTCTACAATAGTGTTCATGGTTATGGAAACTTGACAGAATTGGAGAAAACCAATTTAGAAGAAAATGATATAAAACCAAAGAAGAGAAGGTATGTAGCACTTTAGTAATTATTAATTACTGTCGAAACATTGGAAGTGTTGATAAAATATTGCATAAATTCCTTTATTCAGGTTGATCAAATATTTATTTGATAGAAAATTGATAAACTTCCTGTCACTTTTAGATGAGCCAATTGGATTGCGTTTCAGAACTGATTGACCAATAGGAATTAACGCACAGGAAGTAAAAAGAAATTTGAATTCCTAGGAATTGATCAATTTGAGGAAATGAATCCATGCAATATTTTATCAACACTTCCATTGGCATTGCAATGACAAAATGCTCCCTTGCAATTGTGGTGCAGCGCTTTAACCAGCTGAGCTACAGAGTCCAGTTGTCGAGCTCTAACCACAAGTTCATGTCAACCTGCGGCCCTGCAAGTAACTAAGTAAACAAAGTGAGTTAAGTGTCTATACAGCCGGGTAGGGATGTGGCGGGGGGGGGGAGGGGGGGGTTCAGTGGGTTAAACCCCCCTACAATCTTATATTCTACTAACTACTATATCATATTATAGAATCTACTAACTACACTTATAAAGTATTCAACCGCACCAAAATTTTGCTTCACCATAAAAATTCAACTTTAAAGGGGTCCTACAGTCATTTTTCCACAGAGATTCGTTTGGCTGTATCTTGCATGCAGTATCCATGAGTATGAGTACATCCGCACACCGGAAGATGCATGCATGCTGTGATGCGCATGTTAATTCTTTTCGACTAAAAAATTAGTGTAGGGCCCCTTTAACTATAGTCACTACATAGCCAACACTGTGAGTGCTGTTCAAACTTGTGAGTGCTCCGAGGCTCAACTTCATTTTCTTTCGTTGATCACATGTAGCATGCTGTTTGTCTTTTTATTTTGAATTCTATATTTTGAATCGGTTTTTCAGTTAGTCGGTTATCTGATATTTAGAAGACTCGTGAAACCTATCTGTAAAAATAACCGATTCATCTTGGTTAACCGAATAACCGCATCACCCTAGCCAGCAGTTTACTAAAAAGCTAGCTGTATAGTCAATTTGTTTAGTAACCCATTAAGCTGGATAGCTTTGGCATATTTGACAAGTAAATTTCTCTGGCATTAGACAAGTAAAAAATAAGTAGGGCACATTGCAGCTCAAATATAGGTTAAACCTGTGTTCTTCACAATCTTTGTGAATGCAATGTGTAAACATAGCAGGCCTGGCCAATGTGTGAGAAATGTGGAAATTTATAAAGGTTTTTTTGTGTGAAGTGAGTGAACAGCCAGTTTTTTAGTAAACCTATACACTGTCTATAGTTAATTAAATTAAGGTTGAATTTTTATAATATAAACCAATCGCAACCCCAAACCCACCTCAAGTCAGACAAAACATGCCATTAGATTTTATATTAATACAAAAAAATTTCTAAGTGATTGCCACTGCTGGCTATCTTAGTATCTAGTAGTCACTTCGTTTTTGTGAGATTTTGGTCTAAGCCAGCACGTTTCCACTTAGAGGAATGTGGCCAGATTGGAAAGAATTTATTTAATAGATAACGTAGGAGAATACAGTATAATACAGTTTTTGTTGCAATGAAACATTATGTTGTGCGAACCGAACCTTTCCTGTGTGATTTTAATTCATCTATCCTCCCCCCCCCCCCCATTATTAATAACCGGGACAAAATGACGATTTGTGAACATGGGCCCCTGTCCCTCTGGAAATTGCTGATGATAAACAATATACGAACATTTTAGCGAGATTTCCGGGCCCCTCTGAGCACTCCGGGCCCCAGGTATTTTGCCCCCCCCCCCCTCTTGCCGGCCTTGCTGGTCCCTAATCCAACAAAAATTGTTTGCCAAAGTATTAGGTAATATTTCCTTTCCTTACGCTGGTAGATGTCTCATTACATATAAAACCCACAAAATGCTGCTTTTCATGTGATTAGTTAATAAAAAAAGAAATTTTGATCTGCAATTACTTGTTTTTTTTGTTAATTTTATGCTAATTAGTTTGTACTCTTATCAGTTATTATGATGAATGATATATTTAGTACTTTTAACTAGATTGTTGTTGTCATAATTTGTTTGAACACTAAATATACACTTTTACAAATACAGCCTGAGATATACAGGCTAGGTTTATGCTGTAAATCATCTGAACAGACTAAAAACATAATTTATTCTAAATTATTATTATTATTATTAGAACTTTATTTAAAGAAGGTTAATTTACAAGGAAATATGCCAGTTTAGCTTTTGCTAATCTTCCAGTGGACCTTCTAAAGTTAACTATATAATCGAATATATTTACAATTACATGCATTACAATTAACATTTGTACAGAGTACAGTATACATAATTACATAAAGTACATATCGATGTAGGTATAACAAATTAGAATTAACACACACTGTACATCTTACCGGTTATTTTTATACATATCCAAAAACAATAGCCGGTTCCCCTTATTACGTATTCTGAATACAACTACCATGATACTTTGCTGGTATTTTCTTCATTATGCAATACACGTCCGAAAAGCATGCTGGTAGTTGTATTCAGAATACGCAATAAGGGGAACCGGCTATTCACAGGCTTTACGCTTGAATGCTTGAAATAAGCTGGAAGATCTAATATCTGGTGGCAACATATTATAAAAATATGCTCCAGTGTACCGAAGTTCAAGCCTGGTGATTATTAGTTTATGGTTTGGTATCCATAAGTTCATATTGGGCCATGCCATTTAATATAGGCACCCTCCCCCCCCCCCTATTGAGGGGTCTGGATATCCTATGGGGGGGGGGAGGGGGTTTTTACCTTAAAATTTCCTAGAGGGTAGCTTAAGAAGTTTTCCAAAAAATAGCAAAAATTAGGTGTTTTAGTGGGACTCCTCAATAGGGGGGGGGGGGTGCCTCCCATTGGCAGTACTTCATGTATGTCGCTGGGAAATTGTTGACAATGGTTTGAACATATTACAGCATCAATGAAATCGAAATTTTACCATTAGATATACCAGAGGGTTAAAACGACAAGAAAAACTACAGATGCGGAAAAGTCTTGACAGACGTAGACTTGAAGAGGCATTCTTGCTGTATGCAGTGTTGAAGATGCACTTTGAATATGACCTAAAGATTGATCATGTAGACTATGACAGAAATGTTTTGGTTGAGAAGGTTATTGAACCTTTTCGTGAGAGGTTTCTGGAAAAATGGAGTGGTAAGTTTGATGTTAAACATTTTTATTTTCCTTTATGTTTATGTATCATGCAGAGTAATGTCCAGCTGTTGTTTGGATAACCCGAGGACATACTTTGCAAACATTCCTTGGCTGTAACGAAAAAGCAAGACATGCCATTTTATGATAACCTGGTCGCAGTAATTGCTGATGAATCTCACACTTCAGTGAATTAATTTTTTTACCAACTAAGATTGTTGGCCCAAACTGCGGATTTTCTACCACAAGGATCACAGAATGTTTCGGAATATAAATGTGGATAATGATGTAACTGCCACTGGTTCCAAATTTAGTTTTTAGGGAACACTTACAAATTGTACAAATATTGTTTGGAAGTGCCATATAAATTATTTTATCGTAGCTTTTCTTTTGTTTTACATTTGTTTATTTCTTCAGTATACAGTATTTGTTACAAGTTTATATAAGAATTGGAAAAGCGTGTCCAGTTTTAAGTCAAATGTTATTGTTTTATGGTTAATTAGACCATAAATCAAATAAAGAGGTGTGCTACTTTTTCTGCTGGAGTGCTGGGCACAGCTGAAAGCATTTCCTTAGCCTAACCAAAATACCTGCTCTGCTCACTAGTGGTGAATTAGTATATTTTGGTATGGCAACATAAGATAGCCAAGTAAGACAACTCTTGACGAAGGGCCTTTGCTTGAAACATTGAGTTTCTAATTGTTTTTTTTTCAGTTGGTTTTGGCAAACTGTTCGACCCTTGCAAAGACAGGATTGCTAATTATTTGTATTGGGCTTGTGGGCTTATTGTTTGAACTGTATTTCTGGACACCTGTCAGTGATAATTGTACATGTGATGAAGATCAAGTTATACAGTATAATAACCATGTAAAACTTGCTGCTTGGTATATGTAAAAAGAAAGATGAAGAGTTTATAGAAATTTAAAAAATTGCCCCAATTTTGCTCCCACAAGTCCATGAGTGTGGAAGCAAAGTCATTCTATTATGCTATCAACTGGCATTTGCAACGAATAGGTCATAGCTGCAAGGAAATTTTAATCTAAAATTCTGATTGTACATAGTTAGCTGAATTGTATTTTTTAGGACACAGATGCAAAGTAAAAGGTTGTGGTTCAGTTATGGTTTTGGATGGGAACATGAAGAATGCAAGAACGGTTTGCAGTTGCAATAGTGTTGGAGAGTTATCTTTTGGTGAACTTGGAAGTGTGCTTATTGGTAATACATATTTTGTGTTGTGTATGCTTTGAACAAAATATTTTGCCTGTTTGCATAAATGTATAAATAGGCAACTAGTGCAAATATTCTTATTGCCGTGAAGTGGAATTAAGTGTACTCATGACATTGAGCAGAAATAATTATACATAGAAAAACATGTTGATTTTAAAATGAACTATGCACATTATTACCCGTTTTAGGGTCTTATAAAACGGCGAGGCAAAATAATTTGCGTCGCCGTTCTTTAAATCATTAAGCTGCAGAGCTTCCCCATTGATGGGTAAAATTGTCTGGCAATAGACAAGTAAAAAAAATAAGTAGGGCGCACTGGCGCACATTGTGGATCAATGGGTGAACTAGAGACATCGTCAGATTTTTTGGTGACCCTGTTAAGCTGAAGAGCTTTCCCATTGACGAGTAAAATGATCTGGCGTTAGACAAGTGAAAAAAAATAAGTAGGGGGCACTGGCACGTATTGCAGCTCAATGGGTTAAGAGCCTCTGGAAGCAAGGTACAGTACGCGTAGCTGATTATTTAGGGTTTTGGTGTTCCCACTTTAGTTTCAGTGGTCCATATTGCTTGAGACACAATGTTCTTTATTTCATAATCCTTCTAAACATATTTTGAACATTCACATGGATGTGTGTGAATTCCTATCAAGCATGATGTTTTACCCTGATGCATAATGTTGTTAAACGGAAGGCACAAGACACTAATTATTACTTATGCATATTTAAATTTTAGGTTGTCCAAACACACCTGGAAAGGGAGTCCGATATTGCCATAGTCATGAAGGACTTGCAAGAAAATACATAGACGAAAATATTGCTGTGGAAGATGCCGGGAAAATAGGAATATCGACTGATGAAGATTTAATTATTGTTAGGGTGTTAAACAATAAATTGACTAGACAAGGAAACGTTTGTGAGGTGAGTTACCATTTGATTACATAACTTCATCAGTACGTTTTGTATAACCCTTAATATATAATTAAACACATCCTTTTTGCCTACAATAAAATCACTTCTAACAAAACTGTAGAAGTGAAAGGCACGTATATTAGACTTATTAGTCAGTATGGAACAATGGTTGTAAATTTTTAATGACATTGCAGGTCGTCGTTTAGATTAAATTAGCTGTATAAGTAGTTCTTTCTCAAATAAATATTAAGGTTGAATGGTCCAATGGTCAAACCTCATGGGTCAAAGAAAGTAACTTGCCCTCTGGCCTGAAAGGAGTGAAAGGTGTGCAGTTGGAGAATGTTGTTAGAGCTGTTGATGTTGTTCAGTTTGGAAAGAAGTTGCGCTTTTTAGTTAAGAATGATGCTCAACAGAAGCTTGATGGCTCCAAATTAGTAGGAAAGTAAGTCCTTATCTTGTGGTAAAACATTGAAATTTGTGTTCGTAAATGGCAAAGAAAGAGGCATTGTATAAAGAGCCTGGAAGTTGGTGGAATAAATGGCGATAACAACTATGCAACTGCACGTATTTGAACAAGAGTATTGGAACGACTTTGTGGATAGTTTTTACATGCTTTTTATATATGATACATACTTTCGTTACGGGTTACTGTGGGTAAATTACCAACCATTTCCAATGCAAAATTTGAAAACAGTTTCGATAATTTAGATAAAAATTGTAATATTTTCAAAAACAGTAAATTTAACGTATCTAGCCATTTTTTCTCCAGTGCCCTCTCCTCCCAGCCATAAATAATGACTGTTCCGTATTGGACAATACATTTTTATGTGCATTCTTAATAAAATGATTGCTTGATTTAGCAATGGGTTTGGTATTGCTGATGAAGACGATGAAATGGTTGCAGAAGGTGAGAACGGCAGAAGAAAGTTAGTTTGTGGAACTACGAAAGAAAAGCATAAAGCAAAAAATCTGAAAACTGCTGGTAAGGTTTTTTATAATAAAGGGCCGTTTACACCAGCAATTTTTCCTGTGATTTTTAATACGATTAATATTCTGAGTATATGTACCCTCATCTAAACATTCATAACTCATCCACTCCTTCACATCTATCAGAAGATCGCACTAGAAAACGCAGCAAAAATTGCAAGTACAAACGGGCCTTAAGAGAGGTTTATTTATTAGACATCATCCTAAAGGTGCATGTTATGATCCCTTCTGAGTACCATAGAACTCTGATCAGTCTAACCAAACCTCGTCCCCCCACCCCCTTTACTTTTGGGTGTGGTGAATTTGAATCAAAATTATGCATGTTTCAGTTTGATAATACAAGTAGGGCAAATAGCGCTTGAAGTGAATGTTAAAAGTCCATAAGTAAAGTGTTAAATCATTATGCGGAACGTTCCTGGTGCGTTTAACCAGTTATATTTGGCATTCCCTTTAAATAATTGTAATGTTTATGCTTGAAACCTAAATCTGTTGGCAATTGTTGTGTACAGTGTCCGTATTGTGTGGATGTGTTGCATACCATTTCGATGGTTTAACCTTGTGAGAGTGACGTGATTGTGATTCGCTGTTTAACGTCAGACACATGTTTTTCAGACGTGGCATTGTTCTTTATGGTTATTCTTTTTAAAATGACCAATGCTAGTCCAGTTTTTGTATACATTGTATTATTACTTTAAAAATCCCAAAGTGCATTACATATGTTATACAACGTTCGTTTGATTTTACTCCATTTAGGTTGTCTTTCGTTTCAATGGCCCTGCGGTATCGTAATTAATATTGCAGAGATGTTTAACTGCGAATCAAAGAGCCAAGTATATGGTCATTTACATGAACTAATGGAAAGAGACAACATGTCAGCAGTCAGTAAGTTATACACCTGTACATGCAGTATATGGAATGGAATATTAGCAATTCAGATCAGGTGAAGTGCATAAAGATCAATGCGGTCAGATTGGATTGATATACCTGCACTTGGTTGATCAGATATTTGCTACTAGACAAAATACGAGAAGGGACATAATTGACTCCTATTTTACATATAGGAACAATCTGTTATGACGACGCGTGTCACTTGTTGCGGTATGCCCAAAATCCAAAAAGGATAAATATGACGAACGTCAGCAACAGAATTGGCAACACGACAATTGTGGTGGACAAGTTTCATTTCCGTAACCATGTGGATATATGGTGTAAAACGCATTGCAACCCATACAAATGCAGGGATTTGGACGAGGTATATAATTAAACGTACAATAATTAAAAACCCGGATATAGTTAAAATATTATTCGATTACATAACTTAATTTTCTTGCACCAATTGAACAAAAGTAGTAAGTAGCCAAAATATTAGTGATTTATATGTGGACGAGTTTCCAAGTACCATATCATATGTTAGATAATGTAATCACACAAAAGATTGGAGGACGGGCCCATTCAAGCTAAAAATAATTCAGACTGGTCCCGTTTCTCACCTCCCCCCCCCCCGTCCGCAATATTAATGACCGATCCCTAATTCTTAACTCTGTAATTTTATAGGTCAACACAGAAGTATGTGAGCAAACGTTTCACTGGTTTTCAATGTTTGCCCGAATGACGAAGCATATGAACAGGTGGCGATTTTTGTTCTTCGTTTTGTACATCATGGATAGGCACAACAAGATTGTAGAGAGTGGAAACTTTTAAGACTGTTGTTGTACATATTGTGAGTGGAGATACATTTGTTGCTGAAGTAACCTATTTCGAAATAACAGTAAATTTTGTGGAAGGATAGTTACAGTTAAATTATTTATCTGCAAGTAAGGAAAGGCCGGGAAAAATGTAAAAATTTGTACTGGACGAGGTAAAGCAAAATATCATAATTTGTGAGTGGCTCGCAGATAATTCATTTGCCTCTAACTTCTGCATCGGCAAATAACTGCAAATAAATAATGGGCAAATAAATCTGCTCGCCACTGACAAATAACGAAACAAGAGGACGACATGCAAAGAAAATATTTAATATTGACTTGTTTTGTCATACATCATTAATTTAACTGTTTAGCCGTGTTTTAGCCGTCATCCTTCCTTTCATTTTAGGCGAGTTTAACATGCACCAAATATACGACGCGGACGTGAAGAAAACTACACGGAATACTACACGGATAAAAATTATGGCGAGACACAGAGACACAAGTGGAGCAAAATAAAACTGGATTCTAAACATTAACAACGGTTTTTATATCACTTTCGCGTCGTAGATTTGGTGCATCTTAAGTTCGCTCATAGAGGACACCGACGGCCAAAACAAACTCCTTTAAATAAATGGTATAGTAAAGATAATTCGTGGTGGATTATCAACCGTGTGAATTTAATACAGTCTTAGAAGTTGAAGAATACACACGCCAGATGACGCGTGCGACACTTACTGCCAAATTGGCGGCGATTGCTCACTGTGAAGTACAATATATACACAGTGAACTCAATCTATTTACCTGGAACGATAACATTCAGTCATTTGGCTGTTAAAAAGTGAAGCCTCGCGTGAGCAGTGGCGTCAGCTCTCCACGCCATATAGTACATCAGTTTCAGTCCCCTTATACGCCATCAACGCGCGCGGTCGATTGCCACGCCATATAGTACGTTGGTGTCAGTCCCCTTATACGCCATCACCGCGCGGTCTATCACGAATCAGCGCACGTCAAGTGGCGTTGGCATTGGCTTCACGTTTCTCCCGCATGCGCATGTTATCATTCCAGATAAAAGACATGGAGTTCACTGTATATACATGGAAGGCTGACTTCAGTCAGTGACGTAATCAAAAAGTGAAGGCAAAGATGGCCTCTTTTGAAGCCATTCTTGCGCGTCATTCTCAGTGTCCTTATTCTCAGTCTCTCAGGCAGTTTTTAGCCAATTTAATTTCATAAATTTTGTTTTTTTATTTAATAAAATCACTTTGATGATTGCCTTATAAACGTAAACTGTTTATTTAAAGAGGAGATTTTTTTGTATGTTACGTAACACGCGCTCAAAACTAATGCGTATAATATATCACTTGAGGTTATGACTAAATTCAAAATTTTTATTTGTCGATACGTTTCTCAATGCAAACAAACCTAAAAAGTACGTGTAGTGCTTTATCTGTAAAATAATGCTAAAATGAAGAGATTTTAGATGATACGCCAAAGAGACAATTATGCCTGAAGTTCAGTAATTTTTGCTTATATGCTTGTACATATATGGCGTCAATTTTAAAGCATCATTGATTATTGTATTTAAATTGACAATTTTTAACTATTATTTTATATTTCTCAACCGGCAGATGCATTTAAGAAGGTAGCTAACTGTATAAACTAGAAAATAAAGCTAAAACAAAGTAATTTTGAGAGGAACGTCAAAAAGATTTTAGGTTTTGAACACTTCATTGCAAATAGGTAACATTGAAAAAAAATTGCCTCTTAATGAGTTATTGAAAAACTCCTTGTCAATACGGGCAATACAGATATTTTGAAAGATTGAGTGACATTTGTGTTTTGTTTTGTTTTGTCACTCTTTGTCATTTACAGAAACAACAATCCCACGCTATTTTCCTTTCTTTCCATTCAAATACTGCGTCTTTTAAATAAAGAATAATTAAAATTTAGAACTCAACCCAAGCAATTCAGTTTTTACTCGGAAAATAAAGAAAAATTCTCGGAAAAATATAAAAGTTTAGTTTACCGCGCACGTAAGGGGACTGAGAATGACGCGCAAGAATACGTTCAATTTCCGCCATGTTTGGCTTGACTTTTTGAGCTTGAGTCAGCCTTCCACGTTATATAGTTCAGTGCGGGCAACCTGATTTCAACGCATGTTAAGTTAGTGCGGCGACAATTTATATCGGCTACATTTCACAATGCATTTATCTAATTTGTGATTATTTTCGTTAAATTTTATAATTTCACTGCAGTTTTAATTTAAATTCAGCCATTTAGTGAGGTGCCTATGATAAAAGGCAGTTTAGTTTCAAGAACGTTTGCAAAGCGGTTGTGGTTAATTGAATTTAACATTAAATTGAAGCTTAGCTATATTACGTATATTAACATACAGTACCTAGCATTTTTCGATTTTAAAACCATTCTTAATAAAATCAACATATTACCATGGTAACTACTTTCAATACTTCATGTTCGGAAAACATAATGGTTTTGTCAGTATTGGCAAGGCCAAGGGTTTCTGCATGCATGTATTTTCTAGTTTGTAATAGTCTGGCGCATTCTGACCGAAAATCATGTGGAGATTATTTACCGTATGCATATACCGCGGAAATATGGGTCTTTTAGTAAATTAAACAGTAAATAAAATTTATATAGGATGGTAATTAAGTTGGAAGGAGGTCTTTGAAAGTTGTAAATACTGTATAGGTATTGCTTTTATAAATATTAATACGTGAAGTGGCTACCCTCGGATTTTCTGAAAATTCGCTGACTATTGATTTTTGGAGGTAGTAAAGGAAGATATTTCGAGAAAATGCAATATCACAAATGTCCATTTATTAGGCAGTTGCCACAATATAGAATAACGTTGTGCTGATTCAAGTTACATTACTATACGTTAATTAAAAAACAAGCAGAGACTCCACGTTTCGAGCGAAGGCCTTTCGTCAAGAGTTAGTAGCCAGTTCTTGACGAAGGATTTTCGCTCGAAACGTCGAGTTTCGTCAGTTAATATGTGTATAAATAAGGTAAAGTCCAGGTTGGGAGATCTTCTTGGCCAAAGTCATGTTCAAAAAAGCAAAAGGTAAAGTCATGTTAAAAAAAAGGCAAACTTAATATTTCAAATAAAAATATACATTAACTTAGGTATGCACTAATTCAAATGCAGTGTGCATCTTCTCAACAATCTGGCAGCTATTCATACGCAATAGCCGGTTCCGCTTATTGCGTATTCTGAATAAAACTACCAGCATGCTTTTAGGACGCGTTCTTGGACAATGAAGAAAATACAGATATCTCTGATTGGAATCTTTATATTCCTAGCAGTAAACTATATATTATTAAAAAATAAGCCAAATATTTTTTTTAATAATGACGTTTACAGTCGTTAAATGGTCACAACATATTAGAAATAAGAGAAAGTATACAGATACCACAATATTCCTATACGACTGAGCTACATCGTGGCAGGCCTCAATTTTAAGGGCGGCCCGATTTCCGGCGGAAAGGCTTAAGACCCCCTTGAAATCGAGGGTCTGCCACGAACGCTTCATTGCCAACATTGTTTTAAGTTGAAGACGCATATTAAAGTTAACAAGTTTCCATTAGAGCAAAGTTTGACATGTTTTGCATGTCATATGTAAAAGAGAAAATGTAAAGATTTATTCGTACGACTAACATGTACGGCGTTGTAGGGTTAAGTCTCCACCCTGAGGTGATCATTGGTAAGGTCTAAGGAATTACGATTGTTCGCCCTGTATTTCTATGCACATTCTTTTAGGTGGTGAAGGTGCACAATCTTGTGATCCTCTTCTTGTATGATCTTCTTGGTGGAGTCCACTAACATAGAAGATAAACAAGAAAGATAGCGGTTAAAAGTGGTAAAGGTAAAACCAAACGGTTTCTTACCTTCGGTATATAGGGCGATTTGAAGGAGGGAAAGAAAAAATTGAAATTGTATAAATGAAGGAATAGTGGTTGCTTTCAATATTGGCATCCTTAACGGTATCGTGAAATCATATGGTCAAACTATACTCCCGTATACTCACACTACTAGCAATCCATCGTAAACCTATTGACAGTATTGTCCTTGTGACATAATTTCGGGAGTGTATACTGCGGCATATAAAGTTATAAGCATTAGTCATCGGATGCTAACCTTTCTTCATTATCTTCTTCGTACTTGGCAATATAATCCCTTAACGTGATGCCAAAGAAACCTAACATGTTTGCAAACTGTTTTCGTTCATCTACATTTGTGGGGACAGGTTGTTTCTTCAGGAAGTATACCTGAAATAAAATTACTGTTAAAATTATGACATGAAATAATGAAATAGATTCATACATATATTAAGAGAGACAATTTCAGATTTATATAACCTGTATAAGGATGTTTTGTCATAAAAAGAGTTTATGACAGTGAGGATTACCGGTATTTTAATAATAGAAGTACGATGATATTTTCTTTGAATTATCTTAGATATATATTATATGAATTTTTAATTTGATGTTTATAGTATAAAAATTATAATATTTGGCCGTTATAACGGCCAAATAACGGATTTTATGTCCCATCACCTAGTTGAAGGCGTTGGAGTGGCTGTAAAAACGGGGGGGCGCATACTAGGGGCCCGGGGGCATGGCCCTGAAAAATTGGAAACTACAGTCTCTGAAATGGTAATTTCCAAAGATTTGCAGAGTTCTAAAGGTAACAAAATTAAAGTCATAAAATATCTCAAATTCTTTTGTCTACACACGAAACTGAAATAATATCAATTAAATTTGGGATTTATTATTGACCATTTAAAAAGTGGAGGAGCCCAAAGGCATTCAGGTCCGCAACTAAAAAGTGGCGGGCCACCCCCTGCTTCCATTGCCCTAAATATTAAGGACAGTGGATTAATACATTAATTAAAGATTTTTTTTATTTTTGCGGATACATATACGTATTGCCTTCACCAAGAGGAAAAATGAAATTAGACGATGAGACGTATTCGTTTGTACGTTAGTTACTGATTAGTTAGACTTTATATTATAAATGTTATATTGGACAACTTACGTAAGAATTGTTTCTGCGCACTTTGAATTGCACGATTTGGCCTAAACTCTTTCCAGCAATTATTTTTAACAAATGCTTTCCAGCACTAACTCCACCAGTGACATTACCAACTGTGATCTTCTTGAACTTTCCCTTAATGACAAGTCGGCTTAATGACACAATAGGGCCAGAAACAAGGAGAATGGATGCAAATCCTCTTTGTTCGTCATGCGTAAAGTGGGTAGCAATAGGTGTGCTGGGTATAACTTCGTCTTCTTCATCCTCTTGGTTGAATAACAATTTTGAATTGTTATTCATAATGCCTGTAATGAATGCATGAGATGACGCTGAAACACACATGAATATAGGCGATGCGAGAAAAAGTACAATTACGCTATTACACAACTTCACCCGAATAGTTGTTTAAACTCAATCACCACATGGGAGTAAAACAAGGTTTTGAAACTAAATGAAAATACTCATTAACTAGAAAATTCGTGAATAAAAGAGATTTGTTACGTGATGATTTTACACTTACAGTGTAAGACAATACTATAGTACAAACTAGGGTACGTAGGGATTGCTGCGGGCATTAAGAGGAAATAAAATTAAATAATACACATTACATTAACTAATTAATCCTAACCATGCAAAAATATATAAAAGCTATTGCACTCAAATAAGTTATATTGTATTCAGAAAGGTCTAACTTAGATTTTAATATATAACATTTGATCTTGCAGGAAAAACCATCACAAAATCAAAACTCTTTAATCTTTTGTTGATCAAAGCATATTCGAAAGGCGAACAAAGACCAACTTTATCATACCTGTACGAACTCTCAAATCAAAGGACGTCAAATATCGAACGTTTTTGTTGCATGCCCATATATGGGCATGCAACTTTCATATAGCTCTAAATTTCGTGTCGCGGTGTACGGGTGTACCGTGTACGGGCGGTGGTAAATCACGTGGTAGATTCGTAAAATACGACAAGTACCGAGATTTTCCGACAAGTGTTTACTGAGCAAGTACTGAGCTATATTTAGATGTTGAATCATGTGAACAACTGCATGATCATGTGATGTGAGTCACTCAACGTTTTCGTCGAGCAAACGCAAGGAAAGTTTTTATTATACTGTAATTGTTCGCCGAAAGACTTAGATCGAGGTAGGTAAAGCTTTGCTGTTTTTAATTTACCTTATATTCTCTTATATTTGTTGTGATTTTGGAGCCGTTGTGCTCGCACTGATAATTTATCAGGCTTCAAAATATACTCAAATTGAACGGAGCCGTTGTGCTCGCACTGATTATTTATCAGGGCGCTATTAGCGTGAAAGGCCACGCTCTCAAAATACTCAAATTGAAACGGAGCCATTGTGCTCGCACTGATTATTTATCAGGGCGCTATTATAGCGTGAAAGGCCACGCTCTCAAAATACTCAAATTGAAACGGAGCCATTGTGCTCGCACTGATTATTTATCAGGCGCTATTAGCGTGAAAGGCCACGCACTCAAATTGAACCTTGCCATTGTGCAGGTAAAAAGCAGCCCATTGCCATTGTGCTGGGATTATTGAGACTTTGCCATTGTGCAATTGTAAAGAATTACAAATACAAACTTTCAAAGACAAATACTGAAAGTACAGACTACAGTACACTACTACACTACTTATTGACAATTACTGTAACAAAACTATTTCATTTCAAACAGTGAGAATATTAATAGAAATATGGGTGTGTCAATTGAGATATACAGAATAAGAATTGGTTCACATAACAACTTTGTGCAAGCACGACAGTCCATGAAGCAAATGAAAGGTAAATTTTGGAACCATATGTTAGTAATGTTCTACTTAGAAATATTTTATTTACCATGCTTGAAAAATCTAGTTACCAGGATTGAAAGTAATAATGAAGTTTGCATGTGGTATACACAAATGGTATCTTATCATGTTTATGTACCATTGCTATTGAGGCTTGCAAATGATGTGGAGGAAAATCCAGGCCCAATTAACATCTATGATATTGTTGATCATAGTTTTACGGTTCGAGCAGACTTCAACCAAGGTAATATATCCATGTTTGGAATAAATGCTGGAAAACAATGTGTTGC